TCACATTAAGGATTATCAGCTTTACAAAGTAAATACTTGTAATTTGCTGCCCAGAGCTAGCATTTCCTTCTCCACTTCAGTCCAGATGCATCCTCAAAATGCATAGTATTAAGAAGATAAACTCTGGCTTGCTTGACAGATGTACCAGATAAAAATTAGTTAGACAAAATTTAGATTAAAGAAGACAATAGGAAAATGGCATGCTAGTTAGAATATATATACCTCAGCTACTTTTGGAAGGGTAAGAACTAAAAATGACACTGTAACACTATGGCACCATTTTGCCATTTGTTTATGATTATTACATCATCAACTTTGTATAGATCCAAAATCTAAATAGGGATTATTGATTTTGTTCATTAAATGCGATTTCAAAGCAAGCAGGTCTTACCATGTGCCTGGTATATGTTGTGTCTTCACCAATATAAAAATGCTTATTTAGAAAGGAACAAGCTCATAAGAACTATCTTTCCCACATCATTTGCAAGTCATAGGAAATTCTGCTCTGCTCTAAAAAGTGACTGAAGATCAGAATAAATATTCAAACAAAGCTTTTGTGATAGGAATTTTGGTCCAATAAAAAGAGAGAGCAACCAAATATGTGTTTGAATTGTGTTAATTAGTACCAATCCAGTAGCTTCTCATCACTAGCATGCTTTTCTAACATAGCACCAATGGCACAAACATCAGCTTGCCCACAAATGAATGTAACACACATGCCTATATCCAAGGATGGTCATTACAATTTTCTTTTCAAATAGGCCTGATCATTGATGAAGTTTAGCCATAAGTTCAATTAAAAAAAATATGAATTAAACTATTATTTTGTAGTATTATACTATCACTAATAAGGTTCAAAACAAAGATAAATAGCAATATCTCATAATTTCAGTCAAAAATACTTATTATAAGAAAAGCAAAGATGTAGATGCAGCAAAAGAAATACCAAAGGAAATAAGATAGATCCTTACACAGGTTTGAAAGACAAAATTACACAAATAAGAAACAAAAACTTCCACTTAGAATTTGAACATATTTAAACACACAGCACAAAAAAAAAAAAAAAAAAAA